AAAAAAACTACTTTGATAACATTGAGAGGGGGTTAGCAACTCACATAAAGAAATCAAATGTAATTTAGACAAAATATCACATCATGTTTAATAAAATGAAATAACATAATTATTAAAGATGTTTACTAACATTTATTAAGGAGTTGTTAGAAAAAACTTTTACTTTTCATGTCTCCAACACATTTCCTTTATGGTGGTATAGGTAATAGGTTTTATTCTAAGCAGAATTTTGCTCAGTTCTGCCACATTAATTAATTAAAATTCATACCTTTGGTTCTTATGCAAAAATTTCAGATGGATTTAAGCACAGGAATTTAGGCCAAATTTTTAAGGTACTGAATCACCCCTAAATAGAATGATGCCTAAAGTCTGAGATTTCTTTTATACTTTGTGCGTTTTTTTGAAAAAAAAAAAACAAAGAAAAAAACTACACAATTAAAAAAATTATACACCATGGATCAAACCTCCATCGTCCCACCTTTCCCAGCTGATCAGGTGACTCCTTACATGTGGTTAACCAATGACAGCAGTGTGAGTGTCTGTCTTTAATCACCAAGTGTTGCACAATGCTTAACTAATACGGAATACCAACACTTTCTTATGATTACCAGTCCTCGTGCTGTTGCAGTTGTGTGTTGAGGAATTATCTGACCTTACAGGTGTTCAGGAATATTGCCCTGCTTAAACAGGAGTGAGAGAAGTTAGCTGCTGTCATATGCATGTGTTTATAAATGCCAAGGTGCTAATAATGATAAGCTAAGCGGATGCTCATTGACATTATAGATATATATGTGTGTGTGTGTTTGGGTTGTGTGTGTGTGGGTGGGTGGGTGTGTGTGTGTCTGGGTTGTGTGTGTGTGTGTGTCTACAGACAGCCTCATCATGGATATCAGATTGTTTTTCGTAAAAAGCAGAATACTCACAGAACTGCTCTTTTAATGACCTGATATTCTTCCACTCAAATTACCACACAATAAATTTGTGTACACCTCCTGGCTTTTTCTTTGCGCTGTTTCTCTAAAGGCATGAACATGTGGCCACAGAGAAGTGAGCAGCCTAAAG